TCTTCTAGGGACCTGAGCCTGAACCCCAGGCCCTAATCCTGCCCTCAGGACCTGTACTGGGGACACAGAGGACAGCTCTTGTGAACAAGCCATGAAGGCCAATGTCCCCAACCCCACAGCAGCCCAGACGCTGGGGGTGGGGGATCCCAGGGGAGACTTAGAAAAGCCACAGCCCCAAATTTTCCACTTGTCAACCTTCACTGCTCATTAGAGCACCTGGGGATCTTTGAGAACTTGATACTTGGGCCCCCACTCCAGACCAATGAAATAGAGACACCAAGAGTGGGGCCCAAATGTCGGTATATTTTCTAAGGCTGCTCTGCAGCTGGAGGCATCGGGGAAGGGGTAAGAATCCCCACCTGAAATGTATTCCAACCACAGCTGATGCTGTTAATTTTGTAGACATAACTGTATTACATCTCCTGGGGAAGGTGGTTCTCTTTTTTTCTGTTTTTATTCTTTTAGTTGTCTTGAAATTGTTTCTGATAACAGATTTAGAAAGCCCCTTCATGAGGCTGTTCCCTGAGGTGTCTGGGCTGTTTACAACGACTCTGCCCTGTCTGAGCAAGAGCATTCACCCACACCTACACCCCACTGGGGTCCCAGGACAGAGCTGTCCGGGCACAGCCCTGGGCCTGCCCATGTAACAAACTGCAAATCGGAGATGAGGTAACCTCTCCCCGGAGCCCCTGCTTCTGGGAATTTCAGACCCACATGAGCTGGGCATGAAGTGATGGGGTGGCGGGAAGATACGGAGTCTCTGTGGGGTGTGTGACTGTGTGTGTGTGCCCACACCTGTGCATGCATGTGCGGTGTGCTGCACGCTGTGCACAGGGGTGCGTGTGGGCCTATGTGTGGTGATATGGGCCTACACAGAGGGATGCGCATGTGTGTATACGCGGGTACATGTGTGTAGTTAAAGAAAAGCAGCAGGAGGTATTTCAGATCTTGGTACTTTACACTAGGGCCTCACCTTCAAGACCTCGTGGGTGCAGTGACCCCCATCTTCGCTGCTCAGGCCCCCTTATGAGCAATGGCAGCCTCAACAAACACAGGCTCAGTGCCACGCCCCAGAAGTGGCCAGAGGAGGAAGTGAAGTTCCCATCGCTTAAGGAGACTTGTTGAGTACCTGCTCTCTCACAGAGAGATGGTTCCCTCAGTGTGGTTGTTGGGCTGTCACAAATGGGCAAAGCCTTCCCTCAGGCAGCAGTAAAGGAAGGAAGTTCTCCCCTCTCTGGCCCCAGAAGATACACGGCCAGAAGGGAGGAATCAAGCTGAATGCCATTTGATAAACATGAATTCATCTAGCCTTGAGGCAGGTCAAGGGATCAGCAATGCTGACAGGATGCTCCACACTCACAGGGGACTTTGTGTGTGGCAGAGCCTGGGATGAGTAGTCCAGACAGCCCTCACCCCCAGGGGTCTTCCCACTTCATCTTGGGGGCTCTCGTGACCTAGGGGACAAGGGCCCCTAGACCCTTACTTGCTGCTCTGCCCTAGACAGGTCTGGCTCATGGCTACCCACAGCCCTTGACCACACCATCCACAAACTGCCCAAGACTTCTTTGACTTCCCAGACACTGGGTCCCTTTTCTCTTTCCTCCTCCTCACCCCCACCCTACTTGACTTTCCTGTAGGAAGCTTCAAGGCCAAGCAAAGATGCTTCTTTTCATTATTTGCAAACATTAGCAGCATTCTGTTTCACAGTGTTGATGCATCTGGGTCCTCTGTTCAGAGGGAGCAGGGGGTGAGCAGCAGGGTGTGCTGGCGGGTAGCAAGTGGGCACACTCAGCTCTGAAGTGGCCTGCACAATGTGAACAGCTTGGTCTGATGACAAAATGCCACCAGGGTGAAAGCCAGAGCGAGGGACCATGGTGGTTCCCTCTCCCAGCACTGAGTAGCTCATCGACAGGTTCAGCACCAGCACACGGGGACAGCTCCCTGCCCAGTTCCTTCCCACTCAGGGGATATTCAGCCAGATTTGGGAGTGGGGGGAATGCTATTCCCAGATGTCACCTCTTCCCCAGAACCTGCTGCCCCCAACCTGGGATTGTGCTTCCCAACATTGCCACAATCGTGCAGCCCCCTCATTAGTCCTTGTCACCTTCTCCCCCTTCAAAGTGGATCCTCTATATATACTGTCCCTCTCTGAAGACACTTTTCAACTTTCCTAGGCCTACTGGAGTAGTGCATCAGCCTAAAAGAATTACTCCAGTGGTGTGAATTGCAAGCCACGGGAATAAAAACCTTCAAACCACTAGGTCATTTAGTGGCCTCCCCCTATGCAATACAGCTGGGTCCTAGTACTGCCCTCCGATTGAGCTCATGAGAAGCGCTACTTGAGTTACTGGCAGACTCCAAGTTGCAGGTGAAAACTGCAGAGGCTGAGTAGCTGCCCAAGACCACGCTGACCTAAAGACTGTCAATGGCTTTGTCCCCATCGGCATCCTCCTCTCTCCAACACTCCTGTGCTAAAGAGCATCAGCATTCATGGCCAGGACAAAATGCTGATCAGAGATGGGCAGGCTCTGGACAAGAATCACATTTTAGCTTGAAAACCATCCTCAGAATAAGTTAATGGACTGATGAAGAAAAGTCGATTTGTAGGCAACACCTCTGGGGCCTTCCTTAGTCATGCCCTATAAGAAAGAGGAATAGAAAACCACAAAGCACAAACCCCTAACCATAAAGAAAAAGAAAAAGATCGATGACTTTTTTTTTTAAGATTTTTTTTTTAAATTTATTTATCAGAGAGAGAGAGAGACAGAGGCAGGCAGAGGGAGAAGCAGGCTCCTTGCTCAGCAAGGAGCCCGATGTGGGACTTGATCCCAGGACCCAGGGATCATGACCTGAGCTGAAGGCAGACGCTTAACCGACTGAGCCACCCAGGCGTCCCAAGATCAATGACTTTGATTACATTAAATTAAGGCCTTCTGTTCCTTGGGAGGAAGGAAGGAAGGAAGGAAGGAAGGGAGGGAGGGAGGGAGGGAGGGAGGGAGGAAGGGAGGGAGGGAGGAAGGGAGGGATGGGGAGAGAGAGAAAGAAAGAAAGAGAAAAAGAAAGAAAGAAAGAAAGAAAAAAAGAAAGAAAGAAAGAAAAAGAAAGAAATTACAAAGACAAGCCACCAATTAGGAGATTTTTCAACAGATATAATAAGTTGAATGGGATTTATACCCATCGTACATAAAGAACACCTACAACTCAATAAGAAAAACATAAACAACCCAGCAGAAAGGTGGGCAAATAACATGAATGGGCATTTCATCAAGAGGAAAGAAGGACAAGCATATGACAGAATGCTCAGTCTCATTAGCTGTCAGGGAAATGCAAGTTAAGAACATAACAAGATATCATGACGCCACTAAACATCCTCAATTAGGAAGTGTAATAACCCTACATGTGGGTGACAACATGACCACTGGGAACCTCCAAGTGGTGAGGCCAAATTGGTGCCATCACTTAGGAAAACAATTAGCATTATCTTATAAAGCTGAATTTGCACACACCATTAGTCCCAGCAATTGTGCACCTGAGTCTATACTGAAGAGAAACTCAGTCTCTACCCAAGAGAAACTGTGACACAGTTTCCTCAGGTACAGGCATGTCTACCACAGCGTCATTCAGAATAACTTACAAAAGCAGGGGGAAACTGTCCACAGTCAGGAAGAACCGAAAAATAATGATGGACCATCCACATAATGAAATCTCATACAGCAGTGAAAATGAATAAAACAGAGTTACGTGGAACAACATGAATGAATCTTTGAAACATAATAATGGGTGAAGAAAGCATGTCTCAAACATTACATATAGCAGATGCCATTTATACAAAGCTCAAAGCAAACCAAATTAAAACTAAACCATATACTGTTTATGGATACCTGAGTATGTAAAACACACACACAGACAACAATTTCTTATTTAAAAGCAAAGAAATGATAAACACAAAATCCAAGTTGCAAGTTCCTCTAGGGGGAGGTAGAGGGATTGATGAGAGAAGGACACCAGGTGGGCACAAGAGTCCTGGGAATATTCTTTCTTTAAATTGGACGACAGGGGCGCCTGGGTGGCTCAGTCGTTAAGCGTCTGCCTTCGGCTCAGGTCATGATCCCAGGGTCCTGGGATCGAGTCCCACATCGGGCTCCCTCCTCGGGGGGAAGCCTGCTTCTCCCTCTCCCCCTCCCGCTGCTTGTGTTCCTGCTCTCGCTATCTCTGTCTCTGTCAAATAAATAAATAAAAAATCTTAAAAAAAATAAATAAATAAATAAAAAAAAAATAAATTGGACGACAGAATTATGGGAGAACACCCTATTCTTGCACTTCCTAATATCATGTTACAGACATTCTTGTGTGTATTGAATATCATATAATAAACATCAATAAATAAATGAACGAAAACTGTCTGTACTTCTATATCCCGCAAATGCAGCAGTTAAACCTAACCAGACTTGAATGCAGGTCCACACACACACACACAAACACACACACACACACATAATCCTCCCCTCTCTCATCACCATCTCCCACCTCCAAGAACATCAGGGGGACTCTGGAAAGGCAAGCATCGGGGAAAGGACAGGCATCACAGGCTCACCTCACCACCCTCCAGGTCTTACCAGCTCCCAGAATAGGTCTAGGAAGCAGCCCAATTCCAGAAGAAAAACCCCAAGGCCGCACCACGCCCACCAAAGACAGGTAGAGAGGACACCGTCAGAGAGGACCTGGCTCAATTCCACAAGCCAGTATTTGTCAGCCCCTGAGTGCGAACACTGGGGCACCTATTAGCCCAAGATGGAGAAAAGGACCTTTGAACAGCACTATGCAAATATGCTTCCTTGGTGCATCCCAAACATGACCAGGCATCAACATGGAGGAAGAGGAGGCAATGAGGAATGTCACTATCCACAGTATACCAGGAAGCCTCCCAGGGACTGGCAGCTGGAGCAGGGGCTCCTGGGGGACAGGTTCCCCTTCCTCTCCTCCCCTCCCCCAGCACTCACCTCTGCAGCTCCTTCAGGGACACTGTGATCCTCAGGCCATGGCCCAGGACGTAGAGAGTGGCCAAGATGTCTGCCCACTGCACCATCTCACCCAGAGGCCCGCCCTTTAGCACCCTCGGGCTGAACACATCACCAGACTCCTCCGTCAGGAAGCCGATGTGAACAAGGATCTGGGGAAGACACAGAGTCAGCGTGGAGGAGGAGCAGCATTGCCCTGCCACCCCCAGGGGGACCCGACCAGCAGCAGCCACTGTCCCCAGGCTGTGCCTGGGCAGGTGCTTTCTGGCACCAGCAAGGGGACCAAGAGGCAGAGTGACCACACTGGGCACTGAGGATCAAAGTGAACAAGATGGTCACATCCTGCCCTCAAGGTGCTTACGTTCCAGATGGAAGAGGTAGACAACAGTAAACACAGACAAGAGATAATTTCATGAAATGATAGGGACTCTGAAAGAAATAAACAGGGTGATGTGAGAGTCAGATAAATATTTATTGGATGGACAAATGTGGATGGAGAGATGGGTGGATGGATGGGTGGATGAATGGGTGGATGGATGGGTAGATGGATGGGTGGATGGATGGATGGACCTACAAACCTCCCCAAAACAGGTTATATTATTCCCAATATTCCAGGCAAATGCCATGACCTTTCTGCCTGAAAAGAACGAGATGTCTACAGAACAGAACACCTACATGGTGGAGGGGAGGGTTTGTCATTCTACTCCAAACGTAAAAAGGGCCAGGGGCCACCACATGCATCTATCCTGACTCTGCCTCCCTCACCCCAGCTGAAATTCAAATAAACTCAATAAAACCTTTCCAAGGGCAGACCTGGTGCCCACTTGAAGGCCTGGGGCCCTGAGCTCATTTCCTAAGCTCTCTGAGCACAGCGCCCTGAATGCACAGAGAAGCAGTACCTGCTTCTGGTCCCTCCAGACGCCTCCCAGCTTCCGTGCCAGCCGCTGGGCAGCCAGCGCCCACTGGGCCGTGAGCCGCTTGGTCCGTTTCTTCATGAAGATTAGAGACTCCTTCCCACTGCCCATCAGCTCCAGGAGGTGGGACAGGTTGCTCCGGAAAACTGCCTGGAGGGGGGCCCAGACCTGGGTTCTCTGGCCCTCAGCCCCACAGCGGTGCCACCACCATCACCTGCTGCCCTGGGAATAGGGCCTGGCACCCTCCCTGGGAGGCTGGGGCCTACTCTAACTTCTCCTGCCATTTATAAAGGCCCACTGGCCCCCACCATCGGGGAGCCCTGCACCCACCAACACTACCCCCCAGCCAAGCTGGTCTGTCCCAGCCCAGCTCTGGTCATCCTTCTGTCCCGAGCCCTTTGGGGGGTGGTCAGCGATGGCAGTCCCCAGGAGTCTGGCAGCTACACCAAGGCAGGGAGGGTGGCGGTCAGAGCTGGTGCTCGGACGGCAGGGAGGCCGGGCCCCCTTTCAGTGGAGCTGCAGTAACTGGATGCCTTGAACAAATTAACCGCGTTCCCTAGACCTCAGACTTGCCATCTGTTCAGTGTGGTCGCATAAGGGACTGCTGGGAGGTTTAAGTACAAATAAAGTATCTGGAAGCCTTCCAGGAGCGACAGCTATTGTTACTATTATTCTAGTCCATTTAGGGGGTGCCTCCAGGGCCCCAGCTTGCCCCTCAAGTAGGCCAAGTTTTGCAGCATCCCCAGAAGGCTGGCAGGCTGGGACGCACCCCCCACTAGGCACAGCGGGCTGGCCTCATTTTATCAGGGGCAAAGGGCTCCTCCTGCTGTCCCTTAAGGATGCCCCACCCGAGGAGGCCAGTTGACCTGTCCACCAGCCCCTCATGGACCCACCCACTTCCCAGGCCTACCTGGACTTTGGGGAGGGGCTTGGGGGCCATCTGGGCAGCCGTCTGGTTCCTCCAGGGCAACGGGGGACAGAACCACTCAACCTCACTGAGGTAGATGAGGAAGGAACACTCGGTGCCGTCCACCCCGAAGAAGGCATAGCAGGGGTCCGAGGTCCAGCGGGCACGCATCCACTGTGGAGAGGGCCAGCCTAGGCCAGGGTGCTGGCACCAGCCCCACCCATACCCTTGGGAGGCTCTTTGCAGGCATGTCCTTGGGGACCCGAGGTCCCTCAAGACAGGACCTCTGGGGCACACACTTAGAGATGCAGCAAGGGCCAGGAGCAGAGAGAGGCTAGACCAGAACCCCATGACCCAGCCTTCTGTCCTGGCCACTGAGAACCTCAGGAAGGGCTGAGCAGGACCACTGTCCACCAGGCCCAGAAAGAGTAGGACCCCGGCAGAATAAGGCCAGGTCACAACACACTCAGGGAAAGTTCTGGGGCAAACAGTGGGAGATGCAGCAACTTGGGGCCTGGCTGGTCTCCACCGGGAGCAGGATCCGGTTGAGGCCAAGGTCAGGAGCAGCCTCCAAGAACACAAGGGCTGGAGCTAGAGTGGGCCCCACCCACAGTGATCCCCACATATCACCAAGGAAGGGGCACACACGGCCACTGCTCCACATTCTTAGGGAGTTCAGAACCAGTGAGGAGCCAGCTTTTATGCCATGGCCTGCATTCCCAGAGGGACAGACTTCATGCAGTCATGGGCCCCTGGAAGTGAGCCCCCAGAGGAGGGGCTGGGGGGCTTTCTCAGTCCAGCTGGTTGCAAGGATGGGGAGGGATGGGGAGACAGGCCCACTCAAGAGATCCAGTGTGTGTCTGAATTTTTTGGGATGCAGGCTGCTGGAGGTGTTATTAACAGTTTGTCTGCTCTAAGAAAGTACTGAAAACCCTGAAACGTGATCATCCTAGGCAATGTGGGTTGGTGGGCCAGGCAGACAGCCCAAACAGAGAGGCCGTCTCCCTGAGGCTGGCCTCTGCCAGCCGGTACCAGGGTCAGGGGCTGGGGGCTGGGCGGAGAAGTCCTCACCAGCAGACATCCCTGCCAGGAGCAGAACCTCAGAGCTAGTGTGGGGGCAGGGTCCCCAAAGAGGAGCTGCCCCTCCCCCGGTCACCTCTACCCCCATCCTCAGCCCCAGGCCTCACCTCCACCTTCCCTGAGCAGTCAGGGAACTTGGGGTCACTAGGTGCCTCACACTGGTCCCGCCGGCCTTCAGACACTGCAGGGGGAGAAGGTCAGCTTGCTGAGGGCCTGGGTCTAGGGAGGAGCCCCATGAAGTGTGAGGGAGGCCTGGTCTGCGGGGGAGGGGTTAGCTCAGGAGCACACCCCGCCCTCCCTCCCCTGAGTTTTCTCACCAAAAAAGCCACCCGCCAGGGAGTCCCCAGGCCTGGGTTTCCCCCTCTGCCACAGGCCCTCGCCCTCTATATGGGCTTTGGAACCAGTGAGGAGCCAGCGTGAATGGCTATGGACCAGTGTCTGGATAGGCAGACCTCATGCACCCACCCAAATATAACCCTCTTAGGGGGGCCCCCAGCCTGCTGCTCCCCACATCAAGAAAAATGAAGGGGGCCCCCCGGGGACTCCAGGACCTCTGTTCTCACACCAGGTCACAGTGGGGTGAGCCCCAAGTCACCCCACTAAGAGCCTGAGGCCGGAGCTGGAAGCGCTGCTGTGGGGAGCCATCAGGGCCACCCAGTACATGGCCTCCTGGGGGCAGAGGGCGCCCTGGGCCCCACCCTTGGTGTGCAGGAGCAGACTGTGGCGCAGGATCTGGTCCACCTTCACGGCGATGTCGGACACGTTCTGGGCAATGGCCTGGATCCGCTCCATGAGGCCGGCCCCAGGGGGAAACCTAGTGAGAGAAGCCAGGGGTGAGCCTGCACAGCCCACCTCGGGGGCCTTCCTGGGAGGGACAAGCAAGGGCAGCCGGTGTGAGCACTCCAGGTGCCCGGACACCGCCCTGCCACGAACCAAGACCCAGCACCCAGCACTGGGCCTGGAGGTGGAGGCGTGTGCCCCCGCCCCCCGTTGGAGGGGCTCTCTAAGCACCCACGGCACACGCACATGCGCGTGTCCCAGGCATGTCTGCACACTCATCCCCACGTGCCCCACGTGCTGAGGGGCAGCAACTGAAGCTAAAGCAGGCAGAGGGATTCTATTGGAGAGCCGGGGCAGGATCGGGCCCGGGACCCCCAGGCAAAGGAGGCCTTTCCTGGGCATGGCCGGCTGCCCTGAGCCTGTTTCTCCATTTCCTCCCAGAGGGGCTACATTGTGCCAAAATAAATTCCACCCAAAGCAGCCTGGGGACTTGCCAACTATTAAGCCTCTAGTAAATTATTGCTGGGCTCCTGAGCCTGAATTCTTCCCAGGATCTTAAACGCATTTACTGCCACAAACATCACAGCCCTCCACCCACCACCAATACTCGCATTGCCTTTATTTTTGGAGAAATTATTTCCTGGTGTTGATTACTACTCAACTCTCAGAGAAGTTTATGAGACATCATATGCGGGATTTATCTCATTGCGAAGGCCTGTGTGGAGATGGACCCCACTCTGCCGGTGCGTGGGCTTTCTCCAGAAGTTGCCTACTCTTTCCAACACGTTAATTCCATTCCTTTGATTCACACTTCGCCCTCTGGCTCTGCGCGCCTTGTTTAAGCTCCATCTATCCCTTTATAAGGATGGAGACTTTTCTGCCACACAAAATGGGAAGTACAGGAGGGAGGACTCCTCTCGGGTGATCTGTCCTCTAGAGGACAATGGTGACGGCTGCCTGCCCCCTCAGGCCGCCCTCCCCTCCCACCGCTGCCTTCCTCGAGGAGAGGATGAGCGGCGGCCCCATCCACAGAGGGTGTGGGAGACAGGGGGGCAAGGCAGACATGGTGTGGGGTGGCCACAGAAGGAAGAAGGTGGCAGGAAGGGGCACACAAGCCCTCGACGACACACACACACACACACACACACACACCACACAATCCCATCAACCCTCTCAAAATCAAACAAAAACCTAATGGAAGGCGGCATGCCTTGGCCATGGTAACACACTACCACACATTTATTCCCTCGCAGTCCTGGAGACCAGGAGTCTGAAATCAAGAGGTCAGCAGGGTGGGCTCCTTCTGGGACGAAGGGAGAGAGGAAGACTCTCCCCAGCTTCGGGTGGGGCTAGCTGTGGCTAGTGGGGCGCATCACCCAGCCTCTGCCTCTGCCATCACTTGGCCTTCTGTGTGTGACCAAATTCCCTCGTTTTACAGGAACCCCATCACTGGATGAGGGCCCCCCTGGTCCAGTGTGACCTCATTTTAATTTGATCACATCGGCCAAGGCTCACTTCCAAGTAAGATCAGGTTCATAGGCACCGGGGATCCAGATGTCGACATATCTTTTTGGAGGGCACAATTCAGCCACAGCAGCATTCTACGAGACTACAAATAAGGAGAGGACTCAAGATGATGCTTCTTTTGCTCAGAAAGTCCTCAGACAGGAGGAAGTAGGGAGAGCTCTCCTTGGCCTTCAGATGGCCGCGGAAGGCCGTGGGGAAGAGAGCGGTCAGCATCTCTCCAGTTGACAGTAAAACAGAAGAGCTGAAGATTTGCCTCTTAGGAGCAGTGTGACCCCAGGCAAGTCACTTAGCCTCTCTGTGCCTCCGCGTCCTCCTCTTTAAAAATGGAGGCCTGCACAGGCAGGCCACCACTGTCAGCTTGTGGTGAGGCTGAAGCTGCAGCCAAAGGGGTTTGGGCCAGCCCGGCACCGCTTCTCTACCTCTCCTCATTATCACCCCCGAAGGAGCCTTTGTAGACATATTTGCCCCCACTCACCTCCTCCACGAAAAGTGAAAACCAGGGACATGCCGCTGCTCTGTTAACACACTGTGGTCTGTGAGGGCCACAGGCTGCTGTGACCTCGCAGATAACTTCCTCCTCGTGAATGAGACTTCACCCTTGGGGGTGATATGTACCCGTGGAGGATGCCCCTGACGTCTGTGGGGCTCTTTAGTCAGTTCCGAGCGAGCGTTCTGGAGCTGGATGGACACTCCTCTGCCTGGAAGCAACATTCCGCTGACCGCAGGAGGTGGCCACCGTGCGGAAGGCCAGAAGCCCGTGGCTGCTAGGTCAGGGATGGTGCTGAGCATGGGCGGCCAAGGAGCACAAGGGGTGCTCCTGGGCAGGGAAGGACCCGGTACCCCTCCCAACTTCTAACCAGAGACCCCAGAGCACAAACAACCCTTGTCAGGGATGAGTGGGGGGGGGTCCTGCCAGGTCCCTGGAGACTTTGGAAGGGACCCTACTTCAAGCCTTCCTGAAGGTGCCTCTCCCTCGAGGCTCTGCTCCATCCACCGTTTGGGAGCAAGATCACTTCTCCGAGTCCCCCTACGTGCTGGGATGTGCTTGTGAGTGGGCAGCTTGAAACCCCAGTGGAGTCCTGGGGCACCTGGCTGGCTCAGTCTGTGAAGCATGTGACTCTTGATCTTGTGGTTGTAGGTGTGAGCCTTATGCTGCGTGTAGAGATTATTTAAAAAAAAAAAAATTTTTTTTTAAGATTTTATTTATTTGAGAGGGTGCAAGAGAGAGAGAGAATACACAAGCAGGGGCAGAGGGAGACGGAGAAGCAGGCTCCCTGCTGAGCAAGGAGTCCGATGCAGGGCTCAATCCCAGGACCCCAGGATCATGACCCGAGCCAAAGGCAGATGCTTAACTGACTGAGCCACCCAGGCACCCCAAAAATAAAATCTTAAAAAAAAAAAAAAAGGAAAGGAAAGAAACCCCCAGTGGAGTCCTGAGTCCTCAAGGACAGAAACGTGCTTTTGGATGGAGCCTGGCACTGCCTGGCATGGGCCACATACCCAGAGCTCCATCCCTGTGCTGGGCTGAGTAGAGTTCCCCTCCCTCCAGATTCACATCTACCCAGAACCACAAAAAAATGTGACCTTATTTGGAAATAGGGTCTTTGCAAATGTAATTAGTTGAGATGAGGTCATGCTGAATCAGGTTGGGCTTCAGTTCCATTCCTGGTGTCCTTATGAGAAGGCCACGTGAAGACGCGCTGGGGACGGCCGCCACGGGACGGCGGAGACAGACTGCAGGGAGGCATCCACAAGCCAGGGGCCACCTGAGCCACCAGGAACTGGAAGAGGCAGGGAAGGATCCTCCCCTAGAGGCTTCGGAAGGAACAAGGCCTTGCTTAAACCTGGCTTTCAGACTTCAGCCCCCAGAACCAAGAGAGGAAATCATTTTTATTATTTTAAACCATCCAGTTTGTGGTCCTTTTTTATGGCAGCCCAAGAAAAGTAATGCATCACTGAGGGAAAATGGTTTTTAGTCCATCACAAAAGGAGAGTCCGCACCTGGGTGGCTCAGTGGGTTAAGCATCTGCCTTAGGCTCAGGTCATGATCCCAGGGTCCTGGGATCGAGTCCCGCATCGGGCTCCCTGCTCAGTGGGAAGTCTGCTTCTCCCTCTCCCTCTGTGCTCTCTCTCTCAAGTAAATAAATAAAATCTTAAAAAAAAAAAAAAAAAGGAGAGTCCAAGTTCTCCTGGACCCCTGCTGTCAGAAACTTCTCTCCAACCCATGCTCTGCTTGCTGAAGACCAAGCATCACCTGCAGCTACTTTCTCCGGAGACAAAGAACAGCTGAAGACGCCCTTGACGTCTCAAGTCCTGGGCGGGTGACTCTCCACATTACTCAGAGATTGGGAAGAGCGAGGATCTCAGGGTCAGAGGTCCTGGGTTCAAATCTGGCCCCCGCCGGACAGCTGTGTGACCTTGAGCAGGTTACCTAACCTCTCTGAACTCAGGGGTCAGCTCCTGTAACAGCTGAATGATCTCAACTCGCTCCCAGAGTGACTCCAAGGGCTAGACACAAGGCCGGGTATCACGTGCTCAGCGTATAGTAGACGCTCCATAAACGCTCGAGATGCATTCATTCCCTATCTACAGCAGTCACCCCGTCCCCAAAAGGAAGTTTCGTGTGTCTAACTACAGAACAAAGCACTTCCCTTTTTGGAGGATTTTTTTTCTTTTTTTAAGATTTTATTTATTTATCTGACAGAGAGAGACACAGCGAGAGAGGGAACACAAGCAGGGGGAGTGGGAGAAAGAGAAGCAGGCTTCCTGCGGAGCAGGGAGCCCGATGCGGGCCTCGATCCCAGGACCCTGGGATCATGACCTGAGCCGAAAGCAGACGCTTAACGACTGAGCCACCCAGGCGCCCCTTTTTGGAGGATTTTCATACGGTAAGCGTTTCCCGGGGAGCATCACTAAGAGGGGCTCTAAATAGTGCAGGTGGCATCCGATTTCACAAGCTCAGCTGGTTCAAAACGGAATGACTTGGCCTCACTGTTATTAAACTGGACTTAGCATTTGGGCAGTGCTTTCTATTGTCAAATAATCTATGATTAGTCCTCTCTCCCTGGGATGCTCTTCGGTAACTGACAGTGAAAGCAGATGCCTCGAGACCGCAGACCACAGCAGGGCCGTGGCCTGGGAAGCACGAAGAAGGGGAACAGACTAGGAGTCGGGGCGCAACTGCCTCCAGCCAGCGGGGCCCCGGGCAATTCTCTCAACATCCTGGTTCTTTCTAATGGCCCCCTTGTACAGAGGGGGAAACCAAGGCACAGCAAGGCTGAGTTATTTGCTCAGGGCCGCAGAGCTATTATGTGGAAAAGTCATCAGGTACCAGTTCACCTGCAAAGGGTCTGTGCCTAAGGGTGAGCACGGGGGCAGGACAGCAGGACCAAGGCCTTGATCTAGGGAGTGACATCGTGGGGGTGGAGCCCTCAGTAACCCCGGCAGGTGGCGAAGGCTGAAAGAGCTCCAGCAGAAGGCATCTCCCTGCCAACAACACTCCGAACC